CTGATGACGTTTGTCCTTATTACACATTGAACAGAAGTTTCTAAAGCTAAACGAGCCATTGGAGCCCTGTATCCATTTCTAAACAGACGTTGGTAAATTGAATATTTTTATCATGGCTATCAGGCCAATTTTACTGTATGCCTCAGTAGTCTGGGGCCACACAGCTAAATCTCATATCACCAGATTACAAACATTACAAAACAAAATCGCGAGAATGGTGACAGGATCTCCTTGGTATGTTCGGAATAACCAGATCGCAACCATCTGAAACTCCATTCAATCGTGTCAGTCATTAAAGAACGAAACATCAAGACTTTCGAAAAATCTGAGGTTCATGAGAATCAGCTTCTTCGAAATGCAGTTGATTATGACCCAGGTGATCAATCAAAGTTCAAAAGACCGAGATTGTCCATAAACTAGAGAAAATATCGACATTATGACCAAATTTACTATTCTCAAGTTTTTGATATTTATTTATTCCGTTCGATCTCTTTCAATTCTCAGAATGTATTTCTGAGACTTTTTTGGAGCAGAAGGGCTGTTCGTATCAAACTTCAATACAGTTTTTATTTTGTTCCATAATCTATATCAGGATAAGAGGGACTCTTCCCTGGTCTGAATAAAATAAAAGAAACATCCAATAGTAATAATATATTGTAATAATACTAATATTTCCATTCATAGAAATGATGGGAGATAATCTCAAAAAACTAGAGAAATGAGTAAAGATGATGCCAAAATAAGTCCTTACTTGGTTCATTGATTATTATCTTTGTCTCAATTCTCAATGATTACCAAAACCAGACGCCTATAAAAAATTTAGCACAGAATAGTATATTGTTTAACGAGCAAGAAATGATAGTGATTTCCCATACGAGAATAAAGTTTGCAGCATGAGCCATAGACGAATAGGAAATTAGCATTCCGCGCAAGTTATGCACTATAATTTTTCTACGCCTATATTAGATAACAGCGGCATTTTCGATTTTTTCGTCTTGTAGCCATCTGATTTCCTGTCAAGTAATGCTCATCTATTACACAGAGCTGTTATTGCTCGAAATATGATATTCCATGATGAGTTTTTTTTTAATACACAATGGAGTCATTGTGATATCAGATACGGGAATAAAATTGATGACATACAAAGTACCTCATTGATGCATCGAACACAGTAAAACAAGAGCAATCGTGTGTTATAGCCGTAGAAAATAGTATATTGTTAAACGAGCAAGGAATGATAGTGATTTCCTACGAGAATGAAGTTTGCAGCATGAGCCATAGGCGAATTTTGCAATCATTCGAATAGGAAATTAGCATTCCGTGCAAGTTATACACTATGATTTTTCTACGGCTATAATAGATAACAGCGGCATTTTCGATTTCTTCGTCTTGTAGCCATCTGATTTCCTGTCAAGTAATGCTCATCTATTAGACAGAGCTGTCATTGCTTGAAATTTGACATTCCATGGGCGATGCGTTTTTTTTTAAATAATAACACTATGGAGTCATTGTGATATCAAATACGGAAATAAAATTGATGACATACAAAGTACCTCATTGATGTATCGAACACAGTAAAACAAGAGCAATCTTGTGTTATAGCCGTAGAAAAAATTATTTTCTTTAAAATTGGTAGATTTTTTTCGCTATATAGGCAAATATTCTTTGTGACTGAACTCAGAAACAAACTCGTTCTATTTATTGAATTTGATTTTTCTTTCTGATTAGGATAGGCTTCTGGCTTTGGAAACCCGTATACCCGACCTAAAAATTATGGTACAGTGCTGAGTGTAAATTGCCTCTTTTTTCGTGAAACTGGTGAGAGCGAGGCGAATGAATGGGATGTTCATTAAATAATCAAAGGGCTCTTTCATGAGGTGGCTTTTGAAGTGATAGGGTTGATATGGAACTGTATATTGATTGAAAAAACAACGTTGAAGTGTGTATCCATACCAGAGTACCTATACCAAATGAAAGTGTACCACATGTCCCTGAATTTGTGCAACATGCAGTATCTTTGCTATCAGTATCAGGTATGAATACTGACCAAGGAACTCTCATGAGAAACGTGCAAATCTAATATGCGGTTTTATATAAAATATTCGCGATTTGGTTGAGGGTTCCGAAGTAAATCTGGTCTGGTGTGCTACTATTGTCTTGACAAGAACTCGTCGTCATGGTCATTAATTTGTCATAAGGTGATGGATTCACACTAACGATTTCAGGTGATCGGATATTTCTTCCAAACGATTTAAATTGAAAGCGATTTTTGTGGACTGTATTTTATTTGATACTTCTTCGATATTAATTTAAAGCATAGTCACACATGCCTTATCGATGACATGTCAACTACTACTGACTTGATCTAGGAGCCAGGGGGATGCGGAGACGCCGCTAAGCCAAATATGGCAATAATGATAATTGACACAATTGATTGGTCAAAATTTAGGTGGCAGCCGCAAGCACTCGCAGGTACTCTTTCAGCGGGAATATTTGAATAGCATTAAAAGGATTAAAAGTATAAATCAGTAGGAAACATTCTGCGACTTCTTCATCTGGGGAGCGTTAAAAACACAAGTGTATGAAATTCAAATTGATATTTCCGTACAGCTGTGGAACAGAAGCCAAAATGCCGTTGACGCACTACGAGACAACGACGGTGTCCTGAGGAGGGTGCATTTCAATTTTTTACGTCGAATTGATATTTGTATCAATGAAGATGGTTGTCATAATATTGAACATTTATTATAAAGGAACGTTCTGCTTTAGTTTCCACTGCCAACTAAGTTTTATATCACAATTTCATTAAACTTGTACTATAGGAATATCTGGTAGCATTATTTGAGAAAATTTTTTTTCTTCGAAACTATGCGGTATGAGAAATGTTCACAATAGTAATAAAATGAAGGTAATTGATTAGTCTTCAAGCTCAAAAAATTTCAGAGCCATATTGTCACGAGTAGAACATACGGTATATTAGTAATTTCGAACCATGAGGGTTTCATAAACATAAAGTTAATCAAATCATCCGTTGACATTGAATTATAAAAACTGACAAGAAACTCTCATGAGAAACGTGCTATCTAATAAAATGATGTATACAGTGTGACCCACTTCTAATGGAAACACCCCTGTATCTTAGGTAATCGTTGGGTAAGGATCCTGAAATTTGCTGGAGCGAGAGATATACCAAAAATGCACTCTATGACCAAGTGGGGTCATCTTCAGTGATATACACTGCTCGCCAACAGCCATAAAACCACCCCAATTTCCGGAAAATGATATTAGGAGTCAAAATAGATCGGAAATCACTTCAGATTCGGAATCAGGACGCCCAAGTTACCAACTATTCAAAGTTTTCCTAGAAGATTTTCAGTTCAGAAAAATTAAATCTTGTCTCACTTCTCATGGAAGAACCCCCGTATCTCACGTAATTATTGAGGTAGGGTTCTGAAATTTGCAGGAGAAAGAGAAAGTCCAAAGATAAAGTCAATTACGTGAGATACGGGGGTGCTTCCATAAAAAGTGCGACAAAATTTTATTTTTCAGAACTGAAAATTTTCCAGGAAAAATTTGAATAGTTAATAAATTGGGCGTCCTGATTCCGAATCTGAAGTGATTTTCGACCTATTTTGACTCCTAATATCATTTTCCGGAAATTGGGGTAGTTTCATGGCTGTTGGCGAGCAGTGTATATCACTGAAGATGACTCCACTTGGTCATAGAGTGCATTTTTGGTATATCTCTCGCTCCAGCAAATTTCAGGATCCTAACCCAACGATTACGTGAGATACAGGGGTGTTTCCATTAGAAGTGGGTCACACTGTATAAATATTGGATGTGAGGGTTCCGAAGTTAGTCTGGTCAGGGGCTACTCTTGACTTGACAAGAGCTCGTTGTGATGGTCGTTATAATGTAAGTTGTTATTAGGTCTTTATATTCATTGTTGGTTATTTATATTTGTCATTGCTACCAATAATGTTGCATGTTATAATACAAATTGTTATGTTTGAACATACTTTCGTACTTCCAGTTACCCCTAAGCTATTCGAATATTACCTCTCGCAAACTATTCAGCCAAGCATTACCCCTTATAAATCGATATGGATAAACCACCATCTATTTTATTGTGACATGGTGGAGTAACCATCTATGATATCGTGACATGGTTCTGGCGGAGGCGCCGGGCATGTCACGATATAATAGATGGTTAATCCATCCATATCGATTTAAAAAGGGTTTAGCTTGGCTTGATAGTTTGCGAGAGGTAATTTTCAAAAAGGCACTAATAGTTCAGGGGTAACTGAAAGTACTAGACCATATTCAAACATAACAATATTTATTATAGCATGAAACATTATGGGTGAAGTAATGATAAATATGGATAAACAACAATGAATATAAAGACCGAATAACAATTTACATTATAATGACCATTACGACGAGCTCTTGTCAAGTCAAGAGTAGCCCCAGACCAAACTAACTCACATCCAATATTTATATACATCATTTTATTAGATATGCACGTTTCTCATGAGAGTTCCTTGGTCAGTTTTTATAATTCAATGTCAACGGATGATTTGATTAACTTTATGTTTATGAAACCCTCATGGTTCGAAATTACTAATATAACGTATGTTCTACTCGTGACAATATTATGACCCCTAAAAAAGTTCTGAAAAAAATGTCAGAGAGTGAGGGTGGTTTTAACCCTTCTACAATTTCTTTTAGGTTTCTTCGATTACCAAAAGAAAAGTAATCCTCCGAAATACACTATTGCCAAATTTCATCGAATTTGTTGCACTTATTTCTGAACAGCGTACAAAAATGTGTTTTTTTATGTGAACTTCGAACCCTTCTCACGAACAAACGCTACATTTTGGCACATAAATAAATTGGGTCCAATCAACTTATTTTGATCTCCTCTACACGTGGTAGCTCTATGTCCCAGCAATTGTTGGGTCACCTTGTATATTCATTGAATGACTTTTTGTGTACAGATCATCCGAGGATGGCTAGCGGAGCGCGGCCCGGCTCCCTGGTGCCTCCGCGGGCCAACGGCTCGGCGCCCCTGCCAGTGCCGCCGCACGAGCCCGACGCGCCGCGCGTCGAGTCGTGCGCGCGCATCGACACGCGCTACGACGTCCAGTTGGCAGCGCTCTTCGCCGTCTACGTCTGCTTCGGCGTGCTCTACACGTTTTCAGGTCGGTATCAGAGGGAAGGTAGAGGACCTAAATTAATTCATCTACTCACTGCATCGAAAGTAGGCGTTTTCTCCCTCATTTGAGGACACAAACCTATCAATTTACTCCCACAAGAGTGAACAAAACTTTACCTCCCGTGGGAGGTAAAATAAATGGGCTTCAGCTTGCTTCCTTGATAGAAATATACGTATAAGATCTGTGCTACCCAAGTACCTGATCAGTGTCTTCATCACTACTATAAATCGAATAACAATTTCATTTTCCAATGATCTCTTACACTTTCTCATATTCCAATTCCAAACACTCAATCCAAACTTTGAATAAAATGCATTCACACAGTAAACAAATTCAATGTGACAGAAGTGTCAATGACAAATTAGATTCAAACTAGTTGTGTTTCATTTATTCGATTCCGCCTCCGGGATCACTTTAACGTGCCGTTTTATTTGCAACTCTTCCGATTCCGGTTGCTACTTTTCATTCCCTCTCACTTCAAGGAACGACGTGGAATCACTGTTGAAAGTTGCCCTCCGCTACGCTTCGTGCATTAAACTTCTAACGCGGGAGGAACTGGAAACCTTTCCTCCCTTGATATATAAATAGCTATTATCTACTCACTGCATCGAAAGTAAGCGTTTGCTCCCGCATTTGAGGACACAAACCTGTCAATTTACTTCCACGGTAGTAAACAGAATTTTACCTCCCGTGGGAGGTAAAATAAATTGACTTCAGCTTGCTTCCTTGGTAGAGATATACGTATAAGATCTGTGCTACCCAAGTACCTAATCAGTGTCTCCTTCACTAGTGTAAAACAAATAACAATTTCCTTTCCAAACTTCAATACACTCATACACTTCCTCATTTTCCAAACTCACTCAATCGATAGTTGAAACTTCAAATAAAACGCAATATCACAATAAACAAATTCAATATGACAGAAGTGTCAAATTGATTTTCGTTCAGATTCAAATATACTGTCAATAATTTATTGTCCATAGTCTGTGGCCGCATACTACACTTTTGTAACCTTAGATCATGCAACACATTAATTTTGATCTAGACTCGAGAGATAGACCGCTTGCAGCACAATTTTGAGATCGACACTCTCAAATATATGCGTTCGTGGATAAAATCATATATATATATATATATGTATATATATATCTTGGGAGCAAAGGTTCATTTCCTCCCATGTGTGTTTAATGCCCGCGTCGGACATCAAACTTCACACGCGGGAGGAAATGGATGCCTTTGCTCCCTTGATATATAAATAGCTATTATCTACTCACCAAGTCGAAAGTAGGCGTTTGCTCCCTCATTTAATGAAACAAAGTGGTCAATTTACTCCCACGGGAGGAAAAACTATTCCCGTGTACGTAATTGACTTTATCTCTGGACTGTCCCTTCTTCCTGCAAATTTCAGAACCCTACCTCAATAATTACGTGAGATACGGGGTGCTTCCATGAGAAGTAAGACAAAATTGAATTTTTCTGAACTGAAAATTTTCTACGAAAACTATGAATAGTTAGTGAATTGAGCGTCCTGATTCCGAATCCGAAGTGATTTTCAACCTATTTTGACTCCTAATATCATTTTTCGTAAATTGGGGTGGTTCCATGGCTATTGGCTAGCAGTGTATATCACTGAAGATGACCCCACTTGGTCATAGAGTGCATTTTTGGTATATCTCTCGTTCCAGTAGATTTCAGAATTCTTACCCAACGATTACGTAAGATAAGGTAGATATATACATTTTTTTGTGTTCATAAATATATCTGAGAATATTCCTTCTCAATACTCATGACCTATTCAACTCAAAATTATAGGTATATTTCGTCATTCTAATCAATCCTATTAATCTACTGAGGAGCAAATGAATAAATGAAATCCAAAAATAGAATATGAAATCATTTTCATGAAATTGTCAGTACTGTTGAATAGGTATTTATAATGGTATAATAGTACCCAATTTATAATTATAACAATTACCATCAACTGCTTCCTTCACCCTCCGATGACTTTTTGTTCATGATCATCATCGATGCATATCTACATAATTTTTAAATATTTAAAATACAATGATGTTTGTCTGGTTCTCCGGTCTGGTTACACACACAAAAAAATTGTACTTACTTTGACCCCTGACAAATTTTGTTTTTTCTGATGCTGCTACCTATTATAAAATTGTAAAAACAACTATGTAGTAAGCCTATTTCATATCTTATCCATCATTATTTTGTGAAAGTACAGAATGACGTGTCTTTTTTTTTTCAGGTTATCGGTTCTTCAAAACGACAATGTTTTTGACTGGATTTATTTTCGCTTCCAGTATAGTTTATTTAATATGCCAACAGGGAGATCTTTTACCACCATATGGAAATGAAGGTAAGATAATTAAAGATCATAATTATTATCCAAGTTATGTACAACTCACTACTCAGTATCTCAACTATCATGTTTCACTATTCATGACAATAATATTTACACGCGATATATTTTGTCCCATCTGTTTATCCCAAAATATCTGTTATGTCATCAGTGTCATCACAATGACTCACCTTATAATGTAGCTTGTATTGTTTACAATGTCTTGATAATAATTTTATTAATGTAAAATTTCGTTAATAATCAAAACGGTTAATAAATCAAAAAGGATATTTCTTGTAGAATGATGGATTTAGTTATATACGTTATTGAGTTCATATACTTACACTAACTAAATATTTCAACCACTTTAATCTTTGCCCCTGTCAATCCAAAACAGCGGCATATGTTATGATATTATGATATACAGATTAGTGAATGCCCCTTCAGAGGAAACTGTCAATGAGTGAGTCAACATCATAAAACAGATTGCAATCTAGGTACAATGGATAGGTAATTTATTTCAGAAAAAAATATTTCTAACGAATACTATTTTGTTTCCGAAAATGTGGCATTTTGAAAGGCGGCTGAAACTAATATTTGGAGCTAAAATCTGTGTTTTGATGAGAACATTTCCAAGCATTAAGTTGGTTTCAAATCTCATTCTACTAGTGTATCATTATACCAAAATTGACCTTGAGAACCCCGATATACTCCGATATCCCAGTTCAAATATGATCACCAGATATTGTCTTTTGGTGACAAGTGTCTTCATCTTCTAAAAATTATTAAAAATCAGGTCAACAACCCTCTCAAAGGAGCAGAATGATCTAACCTGTCATTCATGACTTATGTCACTTGATGTTTGCAAAAATGTGTAAGAGTGAGTGAGGTATATAACTGGGGTTCAAAATGTGCATGCTCCATAGGATCCAGTTCTATTAGTAGAGTTCCTCAATGTACTTGATAATTTTATATTGACGTTTTTTTCCATCATGTAACGGCCAAGTCAATTAAAAAATATATATATTTTTGTATATGTAGAGTACGGACAGTTAAATTTTTTCTTTGCATTTTTATAAGAGTGTTGTGTCCTATTTGATGGAAATTCGAATGATGTGAATCTATTCCCAGAATTTTTGCAGTTTATGGACCATTTACTTGTCGATTAATTAACAGCATTGAACCATCACGAACTAAGAAAGCCCTGGGTCACTAATCTGAATACTAACTTTGGCCGGACCATTTCAACCCAATCATATTATTCTATTCTGCAGCCACATGAAATAGACCTCCAGATTATACGGTGAAAAAGAGGCGTACAACAACTTTACCAACTTAACAATAATGTGAAAGAGGGCCATATATTCGAACTATTTTTTTCCTAATTTCTTTTCAGTTTGACAAACCTTTGAAATCGATGTTTGTACACTGAAGTCACTGAACAGCTAAAAATCTGAGGGGTATCTCCCATGCAGTAATGAATTTGCGCCTTCGAAGTGCCCACCCGATTTTAGGTTTAGATATTCGATAGTTTCATTTCATCATCTAAATAATCTGAGACTTACGAGTCGCAAAAAACGGATTCTAATAGTCAATATCCAAGGTACTGACTTATAGACTTAGAGAGCAAAAAACAGATATAAAGCATTGAAAACAAGACAGGTGGATTCACCTCCATATTAGAGATCTGACCAATCAAAAAGTGTACCACTATTGCCGTCATTCTATTTATAAAGTCACTCTAGTGTCTGAACCAACATGAAGCTTCAAAGCCAACTAGATATTTAGGAGATGATTTCTTTCCAGGCGTATCCCTGCTAGCTGGAGTGCTCTTTGGTCTGATAACGATGCTGGTCCAGTACGTGGGCCTGTTCATGAGTGGGCTGCACACCGGCCTTCTCCTGGGCCTGGCAGGGCTGCTGGCCGCCGACCACCTTATCGAGACGTCCCCCAAGGGCTCCGTGTGGCTGTGCGTCGGGGTGCTGTTGTGCTCGGCGCTGCTCATGGCGATTTTCAATTTGTACTTCAGAAAGAGTGAGTTGAATCGATCAGAAATTCACAAGTGGCGAGAGGAAATTAAAAGTATATTATTATAACCTCAATTTGAAAAAATGTTGGAGGTACCACAGTATACACCCTTACGGAAAACAATAATTTCTGTCAGCGGTTTTCGCAGAGCGCATGTCCACTTATGTCTAGTATGCGCAGTTGCTCAGCTAACCAAGGAAGATGGAACACTAGCCACAACGGCCCAGGAGAAAACCAACATTTTTGCGCATTTATTTGCTGGAAATTCCACTCTGGATTCATCGGGAAAACAACCTCCAAACATAACGCCAATTGACAGTCATATGCCCGAGATCACCTTTCGCCAACGTACTATAAGGAAGATTTTATTGGGTCTCAACACCAACAAAGCTTGTGGCTCTGACGGAATCCCACCGATTGTTCTCAAGAAATGTGCTCCCGAACTAACACCTGTTCTCTGCAAGTTGTTCAACTACTCTTACAAATTGGGGATATTCCTGTCCAACTGGAAAATTACAAGAGTACAACCAGTTCCTAAAAAAGGCAAAAAGATCCTACCTAGCAACTACAGATCGATCGCACTGCTATCTGTTATTTCAAAGATCATGGAGAAATCTGTGCGGTGTGTACTGATGTAAATTTTATGTTGGTAACTGACAACATTAAAAGAAGATTATTATAACCTCAATTCGAATAAAGGTTGGAAGTACCACAGTATACACCCTTAAAGAAAACATTAATTTCTGCAAGTGTTCGTGCCCTAAAAATCGCAGTGCGCATGTGTACTTGTGGCTAGTATGCGCAGTTGCTCAGCTAGCAGAGCAGGTGTTTTGTTTACACTTCTTTGATTTATATGCCTTTATAATTCATTCTGTGATAGGAACCATGAGTATCACGCTTTATTTATTGTGTCTAGTAGTATTTTGTGAACCACTTATTCCTGATTGCTTGTATGATTATTGTGCTTCATAAATTTTATATGTGAGGTCACTGACTTCTCACAGCGTCTGGTGATCCGTTTCACTTTTGAGTGCCATTGATATTAGGTAGGAAAAAGTATATCCACAGACATCTATGATCTGTTTGTTATCCATCAACATTATTTATTCATTACCATAGTATTAACACAGTGTGGTATAATCCCTGATGTTTGAATCAAAATTCCAATGTTTTTATGAGTGGTATGTGCGTAGATAGGCTATTTATTTATTTATCTGAAGCCGAAGTGAGTCGTCTTTGGCTTGTCATTGGCTCGACCAAATAAAACTTGTGGACACCAACATCAAACGTTCCGACACTAAGTGAAATTACTGTTTTCCGTAAGGGTGTACACTGTGGAAGTACCGAGTCAACCACACATATCTCAGTTCTATCACAAAATAGATTAGTCAGAGAACATTGTTTCATCATACTGTTCTGAAATATATGCTACTTTAATCGTGATGTCTCTCAATTATTTTTTAGCCACCCGCAAATGTACAAGTGTCTGTTATTATCCCCACCATTCGAGATTTCATTCATTTAACCGTGTTTAGCGCTTAGGATTGTTGGCGTATACTTTTCATCAATTTATGTATGAATCGCGGTGTCTGTCTATTATTATTTATTCTCTTGATGTCCACAGGTCTCACTATCCTCGGCACGAGCGTCTACGGCGGCGCGATGCTGTCGATCGCCGTCGACTACTTCGTCGAGAAGCTGTCGATGGTGCGGTGGGCGTGGCAGCGGGTGTCGCTTCGCCCCGCCCTGCCTCCGCCCTGCTGGTTCTCGTGGCTGGTGTTGGGGGCGTGGCCGGCATTCCTTTTGGCCGGCATGGTCGTGCAGTTCGGGGCGACCGGCAGAGGGATACACCATCCTGACGGTAAATAGTAATTTTCCTAACAAGTGCGGAAAGTGATTATTTCCCGCACGCGACTGCCGTTGACACGAACGACGCGAAGCGTGGACCATTTCAAGACATTGCACTTCTTGACATAACTCGTGAATGCGATGTTAGATTTTTGTTTCGTTTCCATCATCGTGATCAGCAGATGTTACATAATTTCTACGTGAGCTAACTCAGATTATATAGGGTGAATTGTGAATTAAACAAATATGAATGTTTACTCTGAATAAGGAGTCCTGAACTAATTGGAAGAAAAAATAATCATGACCATAATCGTCATCACACTTGGGTACAGAGATATTTTGAATGAATTTTCAAATTACCTATTATAATGTAAATAAATACAAAAAGCTTAGTCATGTTCATAAAATGAACAAGATTTCGGAAGAAAAACAACTAGAAATCTATGCATCGACTCTATAAACGAATACTGATACAAGTGATTCTTTCCTGAATGCATATTGATTTCTATTCAGCCAGGCCACGCTAGACACCTACAGACCGGTTTCGAGTTGTTTGACTTTCATCAGTGCAGGGCTATCACCAGCCAGCAGTCCTAAGACCGCCGACTAAGCGTAGCTAATCCTTCTTTTCTACTCAGATGCCGTTGCTTTCATATTGTCTATGAAAGACGCCTCTGGGGGAATATAATGCCGACTTGATTTTTGTTTGGCTACTCTGAGATGTCACCCTGTTTCCCAGAAAGTCATTTAGCCTTGATGCTATTCATTTCTCGTCACGGCTTCCCAAAACTCATCAGATTTCCAGAGGCTCATCAATCCGCGGTGACATAAGCAGATGTTCACAAATCTCCTCATTCTTGCACACAGATATCCACAAAACTATCCCATCTGGGTAATCATAACAAAGATGTCCACAAAATGCTCGATCTGCCGAGCAGCCGTGGCTCGTCCTCCCTGCACCATGGTGAGTTGGCTTTAGGGGAAAAGGAAAAAAAATTGCCAAGAGAAGCTGATAGGCTCATAGTAACACAGTTAATCTACCCTTGAAGTCCTCTATTGCTTTTTGAGTTGAGTTTACTGTTGCATGGCATAGTCGTTAAGTTTGTAGCGACCAGGTGAGGTATACTATCCTGACGGTACATTCGTTTGTTTTTATAGCCCACCTCCACTTCTATGCCTTTCTGGGTCGAATCAATTTTCCACACGCGTCAGTGTATCAACTTTTATGTCGGTGCTGATATAATTCGGTGGTTTGAACCTAGTCCTCCAGCTTTGTCAAAATGCCATCTGACTTACACAAATGCAGAATCACCAGTAGCAACGTCTGAAGGACTCTACAAATTTCGAATATAACAAATTGTTTCACACTCTATTTAACACTTCATTGAATACTTTTCAAATTTAAAATGAATTTATTCTTGGTAATTCATTATAAATTTATTTTCTGTTTTCAGTGAAAGCTGGTAGGAAAAAAGTCAGGGGCACAAGTTCAAGGAGCATCACGAGAGTCGACAGAGCTGAAATGAGACAGAAAAAGTATAGATATCTCTATCAGGTTAGAACTGCTCATGGAGATGTGATAAGTCAGGTAAATGATTACAATCTTACAAACTCTGGAAAAAATCGATCTGGTAAAGGGTATATTTGAGTGGGGAAAACTCATTCACACGTATAACTTATTATGCTCTATGAAAAATAGGTTGACAAGAAAGACGTTTTATATAATTTTTCAATCCATCAGTTTCCCATAGCCATTCCTTCGGCATATTGAGCCTCTCAGTATTGATATGCAATGGTTGGTTATTGACAGATTTCAACATTGACCAGATGTAATTTTCTGTGTGTTAATAGTACTAACGTGATACATTCTGGATAATTCCCTTATTCATTAATTATTGATGAACCGTTGAACCTAGACTGTTCTTGATACATATTGACAGCGTTGAATTTAAAGAAACCTAAAGAGCGTTCCTTGTGTAAAACTGAGGAAATATTAATGAATTGCATTTTATCTAAATTAATATCGGAAAATTATGGTCACTAGGATAAACATATCAGTTTTCAATCTCCAAGGTAATCAGCAAATATCTAATGTTGAAAATTCAAGTGCGGATATCAGAATGAGATTCCTTCAATAACCAATATCCTATTGTCACCAGAAGCCTGATTTTATGGGTTGCGGGCAAGAACTGTCAAATGACCGACCCTGGAGGTGAAACATTGAAACACAACCTCACTTTCCTTATTTGTTTACAAATGATTGAAATAGTTTTTCACAATTATTTTGGCATACGAATCGTGTTTTTCGGCTATTCATTAATTCGCGCATGCCATCACATTGTGCTGTTGTACAATGCACAAAAAATGTAGTGAGAGACGAATAAGGAATCCGGTTGGTACATTATGATTTAAAAGTAACTACCTACTATAGTCACTCACATATAGTTTTCATTTTGAAATATGGTTATTTTCTCTGATTTCTCGTCGGAATTTTTTCTGCAACAGGAGCTAATAGAAATACTCGTGAAATTTTCAACAGAATGCAAGAAGATTGGATTCATGCAATCAAAAGGAAGGAATGGTCTGACATGGTGACGAAATATGATCGTGTGTGTTGTAGACATTTTCAATCTATTAGCAGTATTAGCTTCTATTGCAGAAGTGGCAGAAGGAATTCTAATAAGAAATAACAAAATTTCATAGTGAAAACTATGTGAGATTACTATTTACCTGAAAAATCATATTCCTTCGTCTCTCGCTGCATTTTTTGTGTATTGTACAACAGCACAATCAGAAGGCATGTTTGAATTAATGAATAGCGCAAAATACACGATTATTATACCAAAATATAATGATGGGAGTAAGATATGGTGTAATTACTGATGCGCTTTTGTTACAGAAATTTTACTCGACCTCTCGAGAACAGCGAGAGCAATGGTTCCGTCAATCTGCTAATAGATGGCGACATTGCACAATCATGACATCTGTCAGTTTTTGAATTGTTGCAGTTTTCTTGAATTCAGAGTTGAATAATCCCACTGTTACATATGTTCCGCGTACCTTAAATGCCGTTTGCAATTTTATTTCCATTCGTCACAGCAGCAATAGCAGCATCACCGCTCTCGCTCGTTGTGACGTAGAGAAATCATAGTAGGCGGTCGAGTGATTTTTCTTAAATTTATGGTCGAATACGCGCACCATATCTTACTTCCATCATTCAAAATATTGTGAAAAACAATTTCAATCCTGTGATTCCTCCGTAAACAAATAAAAAAAGCGAGGTTATGTTTCAATGTTCAACAGAAAAGTGAGGTTGTGTTTCAATATTTCACCTCCAGGGTGGGTCATCGTGCAAACGACCTATAGGAGATTCCTTTGCAGAATTTCGTACAGCAACTCCAGAAGAAAGACAATGACACGCAAGGCGAGTGCAGCACCCTCCAATCGGACGCCACCCACCTGACCATATTGCCGGACGCGCAGTTGGCAGCGCTGACAGAAAGCGAGGACGACAGCCACACGGAGATTGCGGCGAGACGATGAAGGAACCGATCTTTTCGACTTTGTGATTCGTTGCTTTCGATATTTTTCCGAGTTTTTAAAGCTTCGAGACAATAACCTACAGGAGGGAAAAGGAGTATAAAATACATGGGCTGTATCAGGGGTACACCCGCGAGTATTTACGTGAATACGTCTTTCTTGGTGGATATGTGAGATGCACTGTCCAATATTTGCACCACAAAGATCCTGAGTTTAATCCCTTATCATTTACACTAACAAGGTGAACCATGAATAATAAAACTAAAATTGTTCCTCTTGTACGATGATCCACAGGGCTATCAGTCTATTTTTTCATGATTATTGTATTAGTTTTCTCATCATGTAATTTTCCCACTGAATACAGGCAATAGGTGCTTGTTGTCAAATTGAAACATCGAATGACGTATCCATGGCCCTATTGGAGAATTCATTCACAACAACGACGCAACGATTGACTCACTCGATAAGTTGTATAATCAATCACTGAGATGTGGAAACATTCAAACATTTGAAATTACAAGGGAAATGAGCGTCATTTCAGAATGCGCTGTTTTGTAACGCGCTGTTTTATTCGCGCTGTTTTGTCATGCACTGTTTTGTTACTCGCTATTTCGTTGCAAAGCCGGGTCAGGCATATGAGGTGATGCTGTAGCATCAATTCAAGGTAACCATAATGTAACAGGATACCAAAGGAGTAGATCTGATCGACTCGACTTTTGTTATAGAAAAAATGTGTTTCAAAAATAAAAAAAAAAAGGTAAAAGAAAGGGGAAAGGGGCCCCGAGGATTGCATTGCCTAGGGGGCTTGATGGGGCTAATCCGGCCCTGGTTGTCTCTGTCAATGGCATGATGTAAACATTCATAGAAAAAAATCAAGTTCAGCAAGTAGAGCAAGAACAAACGAACGGCCCAATATTGATGTTGGTGTCCTGCTTCAGAAAGAAGAATATTCCAAGATAGTTCAGCAACTTGCAGATAGATGAAATCTGTCATATTTGGCTGGTTCGCTGGCGCCGTTTACGAACCAGCAAATAACTAAGAGCAAATTTTACATGGAGGTGGATCATCTTCTGTTAGTGTAAATAAAATCAAGGGTTTCATGTGATATTGGTCGCTAACACGACCGTCGTGCTGGTCCCATGTAATGAATCTCTTCACTCGATATTTTTTCATGATTTTAATTAAACAAATAAACTCACAGTATCCTGCAAATGATCGAAAGTTGCCTGTTTGTGTAACTCATTTTGCGACTCACTAGATACAGCATAGATATGAATACAGTCCTCAACATATTAAGTACACTCCGAATTCCACTGTTTTCCATATCGATATATTTCTTACTATTTTCATTATCTAGTACTCAATATGAGACTCACAGTATCCTCGGTCAGTCATAATGAAAGATATGTAAAGAGTGTGAAAAATTCAGAAGATGCAGGATCAGCATGGCATAAAAAAATATGAAGTATTTTTGTTTTGCATTCAAAAAAAATTTTAATGTGGTCCAATTTTTATTAAAGTATTTCACTTTGGTCTGAGGAAGTGAAAAAAAATCCTTCGCCACTCAAAAATGTTGTGTGCTCAAACAGTTTTAGTTATAATGTAATCAGTACCTCTCTCAATTCGGTATGTGATATTATTGGTCTGATTGTATTCATATATATTGGGTAATTTTCAACTTTATTTTTGTTCAAACATTCTAAAATTAAAAGAAATTTATATCTGCACCATTGAACAAAAAGGTTACATCTGCTACTACTGTCATCTGGAAAACAATTTTCAATAATTCCAAGAAAATCAATTTGAATTTAGAAGACGTATTCACGTCGAAAATTGGTCACTTTTACATGTAATAGGTGTCTCATGTAATGGCATAGATATTGCCACTTAGACGACTCGTATTATTATACAAAGTCTGTATGTAGTACGGTCCGATTGGCCCGAATAACGTACCTTTAACGAACGTGTTTTTTGTCAGTTACATTCCATTGTATTAGCGTTATTTCTGTGCGACGAGACGTGTCACACCCTGTACAAATATGTACTGCCAAAAGATTGTAATAACAAATTTCCTGGTAGTAAGGTGAACTCATCGTACGGACGTGTAGAGTATTTATTGTAAGATCGCAAGATCTCTAAAAGTTTGAAGGTAAAAACTATAAACCAAAGGTTAGATATGAATTTTGAATTCATTATTATTTTGTTGACATATTTTTTTATTATAGCACAAAAAATCAAAATTGCTCATAATCATATTTGGCGTTTTATTTACCTTCTTCCTTGGTCCATATACAGGTTTTATTATTTAAGTCAGTGCCGGATTTTCGATTAATGATTTAGCAAAATAAATAATATTAACATCTGCAGGTAGGATACTATGAATTCCTGAATACCTAATGGATCTGCAGATCATATATTCCAAAACACAACCTATTGAAAATGGTAGATTTTGTGAGAAGACATACTTTCTGAATATATTCAGATCTAATTTCTGCTGAAATTACCACCAAAAGGTAGAAGAGAAGAGTTCCTATATAGTATGTCAGACATAACCACAAATACATAGATGAATAGGAAGGGAACTAACAGAACTTAACAGTGCACAAATGTACAGGGTTTATATTTACCCCATAGCTATCTCAGTTCACCGAACCCCCTGTATTTTATTCTCCTAATTGGTAGAGCACTTTCTTCTAATTTCAAATATAACATACAGGGTGTAAATTTGAAAACTTCCAATGCGAATATCTCGCGAAAGAAAAAAGTTAGAAAAACGCCGTTTGGCAAAAATGCTAAAGAGTTAAGGGGAAGTAGAACCACCATATTTCGGTCAAGGGATGAGTCACCCCGTCGGCGCGAAACACCCTAACTTTGAAATGTCAAATGGCACTACCTTTTTTGTGATGCCTCAAATGAACAGTCTGTCAGTAGTATTCACCTGTACAAGACTTTTTTTCCACCCACTACAGGGTGTACGAAAAATATAAAGTTGAATAAAATAAAATGAATTGTGTTAAAAGGATATTTTATTTGATCAGATGTTCAAAATGCATTCCATTCTGTTGTAAGCAATAGTATAATCGATGTTCAAATGCCATTCCAACATTTTGGAACACATCTCTTGGAATATATATCGGCATTCTGCATTTTATTTTATTCGACTTTATGTTTTCCGTTCACCCTGTAGTGGGTGGAAAATTAGTCTTGTACAGGTGAATACTACTGACTGAGACCGTTCATTTGAGGTATCACAAAAGAGGTAGTGCCATTTGACATTTCAAAGATGGACTGTGTCGCGCCGACGGGGTGACTCATCCCTCTACTGAAGTATGGTGGTTCTAGTTCCCCCTAACTCTGTAGCATTTGTGCCAAACGGCGTTTTCCTTACTGTTTTATTTAGCGAGATATTCGCATTGAAAGTTTTCAAATTTAGACAGTCGAATTAATGTTTTTCGTACACCCTGTAGTGGGTGGAAAAAAAGTCTTGTACAGGTGAATACTACTGACTGAGACCGTTCATTTGAGGTATCACAAAATAGGTAGTGCCATTTGACATTTCAAATTTGGGGTGTGTTGCGCTGACAGGGTGACTCATCCCTTAACTGAAATATGGTGGTTCTAGTTCCCCTTAATTCTTTAGCATTTTTGCCAAGCGGCGTTTTTCTTACTTTTTTATTTCGCGAGATATTCGCATTGAAAGTTTTCAAATTTACACCCTGTATATACTTTATTGAGGTTATCTTTGTCAGTTCTCGAAAAACATAGATTCTAATAAGGCAATAAGTATCAAGCATTAATTGTATATATATTTGAAAATCAGAAGAACTCTACCGTTTAGAATAATAAAAAATACAGGGTGTTTCATTGAAAAAATACCAGTTTATAAAATATTTAGGTCTATGATACTTCTCGGCATTTTCTAGTACTATATCATGAATGCCCATAAAAATACTGCTCATTTGAACGTTTTTGTAAGACCACCAATATTAACTGAGATAGCTATTGAGCAAAATATAAACAATCACCAATCACCCTGTACACGACATCAACTTCAAAGGTTTGTCAAACTAAAAACAATTTATTTTATTCGAATATACATCAAACAGAACCCTGTTGCAAAAACGACAATAATATGAAATGGCTGGCGTGGAATACAGATTCCGCCACACATTTTGTGAGGCCTTCAATATTCAATTTTATTGGTAAAGCATAGAATAGAGATTGAGAGATGGACAGTGGAACTGACAATTAATAATCATGATGCACAGTTATTACTGTAGATATCGAACTTTTTTATTTCAGAACAGCAGAATTTCAGCAAAGTCACAGGGTGCCTTATTTTTATTCATCAGGACTGCAGAAATGGAGGAGAAAAATATCATTGGAACTAGTGTTTCAAAGTGTTTTCAAAAATACATTTATATTCATTATATTCCAATAAAATGTCTTATAAAAATAACAATATAACACTGACTATGCCAAATATCTATTTTTATAACAATATTGGGCACATCATCAATTTCAATAAGCCAATTAGCAGTTGGTGCTTTTGGTCACAATTTCAATATGAAAATCACCTACATGTGAGAGTATGATATAATCCAATATACATATATAGAAAAATATTTGAAAAATGTACAATAAATAATTATTATGCACATTTATTTATTTATTTGTTTCCATACTAAGGAATCTGGAGTAATTGTGGATTATATTATGTCACTATAGGGTGGTTTCAAACGTGATGCATATCATTTAACAGAATGAAAAATTCAATGAAAGATAATCCATTTCACCATAACACGGACTTGTAATGATGGCCGATGATCGCTATCAGTCCGATTGTCTAATACACTAAGTTCAAATGTCATTCAATAGTCCAGATATAAACAGATACTGTATTTGTGTAAACATAATATGTAGTGCTATCATTGTTTTTTTCTGTGCGATTGTTGGACCATGGCATACGTTTTATGATACAAAAAAACTTTAGGAACTTGTTGACATTTGACAATCTGAGTTTTTTGATTTCGGTAATTTTTATACAGTGAGCACATGGAGGTTGAAATAAATTCATTAAAAGTTTCATATGGCCATTGGAAAAAATAAGCACAGACACATGGATTGTCTTTTTCAGATGTGCAATTGTTGGTCTACTCATATTTTTGATGACGTCATCACAATATATATATAGCATTTTGGATGAAATATTTCTCATTCCTCGAACATATGGTTATATAACAAAAGAAAAGATATGACGTCCCTACCCAGAAAAATGCGTTATTCTTCAAGGTATTGAAATAGGGTATTTCCATAAAAAATGATGACGTCATATCAACAATATTAGTCGACCAATAATTGCACAGCTGAAAAAAAAAAACAATGTGTCTGAGCTTTTTCTCCACTGGCCATATCAAGCTTTGAAGGAATTTATTCTACATGCTCACTAAATAACTATTTTCGGTGATGTTGTTCATTTTGGAAGATGCCTCACCTTTGAAAACAACTTGTATATTACAATTCTTAAGGATCCAAAGACTAAACAAAGTTTCTTTGGATTAATGATCAATCAATTTCACAATTTCAGTACCATCTGATACTATGAAATTCTCGCGTATATTTGGGGAGTAAATCACAAATATTCAACTCACCATAACACACTGTACACGCCTCCCAATCATATCTGTAACACCTTCCAGCAAACTTACTGATAGATTGAAATATATTCTTATTGGGATTCATCAATTTTTCTCATAGGGGGCAAGTAGAAGGCTTTGAGTAGAGTGGACTCCAAGAGAGGAGTCATCGCTTTTTTGTCTTTATCTTTCAGCCACACTTGCTTTGTAACTTCATGGGCTGTTCTGGTGCAAATATCAGCGAAATGGAACCTATGAAAATACAATCCATATTATTGGTGCTACTTATGTATAACCTTAAAAAATAACATAGGGTATGTTGGGATTCCGTTCAGCGAATTAATGCGAAAGTACCTCTGGAAATACTGTGCACCATATAAATAATAATTTCGGCAGCACAAGAAACTGTCACCGTAGATTGTAAATTGGAGTAGGTATAAAGATGAGTGTAAGCTCGTTGTGACATACCCTGTATAACTGAATTTGAATTGATAATTATTGCATCAGGGCAAACCTCAATGTACACAACAGTAACTGGAAAACAACAAACAGTGTTCCAATTATTGTTGGGTACTGTTGGACAGTGTTTACAATTTTTGAACCACAGACTAATGTCAACAATCTATGGTTGGTTACTTCCTTTCTATGATTTGAAACCAATCAGAACGTTCAATTGTATAATTTCTAATATTTGCGATTTTCAAGGACATCATCTGACGTTGCGATGACGTTCCCTAACTCCTTGAAAGTTGGAAATGTTTTCCGTAATTTTATATGTCATCCCTACGTCATCTAATGACCAACATAGAGCTCTACTAATCAGAAATTTAGAATTATTTCCATTTCCATAGTAAAAAATTCATATTGTTACATACAATGCGCGTCGTGAAATTTTCAAGTTTAAAACTAATCAAAAAATAATCGCATCAAATACAATAATTCAAACTTCAAAATATCAAGGTTATACATCTCAAACTTCCTGCACAATGGGCTTATATCACAAAAAAATTTTATTTCATAATTCGATAGAACTCACCCAAACTAGCTCACCACCGCAAACCGTTTCTTGCTGTGAGCTCTCTACGTTTTACGAAAAATTATTGATATCTCCGATTTTACGGACCCCTGAGAACGAGGCGATGATGTGACGTCAAAACCCTAATACTGAAACAAGACTATTCCAGACAGAGACAATGATACATGATTTCTGACAGAGTGAATTAGCGCGAGATCACAGTTGAAAGAATTAATATATCAGTTGCCTCAGTCTCCGTCAAGCGTTTGGTATTTTTTTTAACTATGGCGAGATGAGGTTTCTACGTCATAAGAGGGTCCGTTTTCAGAAGGTACTATTATTAATGTCCAAAAATAAAACATTCCAGTTAATTTTTCGATCGAATTATGTCGTCAATCATTATTTATGTATAAAATAAGGATCATTATAAACATGGTTTGAATTAAAAGTTCTACTAAGGTGTACACGCCCATTACAAATCGTGTCTCTTCAACAGAATAATCCTCTTGCATCGCAAGATAAACCATACATAAGTTCAAAACTCTATATTTTGTCTAATTTGAGACTAGAATATGTCTGGAAGATTACAAGAGAAAATTTATTCAATTGATGCTTGACACATTTCCATGGTTGCCCTAGCACAATCATTGAGGATTGCCCTGATGCAATAATTATCAATAGGCAATTTCACTATGATTGAAAATAGCCCTGTTTATATGGCGCACGGTCTCATACATGACTCAGTATATCAAATAGCACTTCCTCCCATCTATTGATTCCTTTACAACCGTTTAATTAATACTTCAAAAGTGCTACAAATTGAGAGAGATCCAAACGAGCATTTTTCGCGGTGTGACGTCACTTGTATTTTCTTGAGGCTCCCTCTGACGACCCAAAGAGGATGCTTAATTACACAAAACCACAGACACAGAACTCGAGCACAGAGTGGTTGGGTGATCTTTGACTTGATAGAAAAATGGCTACAAAACAAACTGAAGAAGAAAAATATTAACCTCGAAATCTAGTTCATATAGTTCATTATTTCACTTCATTTTCAGTGACCTATCAGTGTCATATTAGTGATATTCTTTCAATTTGAATTAACTGAAAATATTTCACTTGAACTGAACTGAATCAGTTAATATGCGTTCTTTCAGATGACGTTCATTGCATGTCAACTGATTCAGTTCAGTTCAAGTGACATGTGTCAGTACATTCAGAACGAAAGAATATCACTATTATAGTTTTTATTGAGTGACAAATGCAATGACAAATGGTGACAAGACCAATTACCCAATGAGAATGTCCGTCCGAAGTGTATGACGCGGTGTGACGCACTTTGTATTCGTCCAATGGAATGCCATCATCAATATTTCGCGTGCATTCGAGCTATCGTTTGAATTCAAGTTCAATTTAATAATTTTTTTCTGGGTCAACCGCAATCGTAAGAAAATTGGAAAAATGCTGAATTCACCCAGTATGTGTTCTAAATCGTGAAAAAAAATTCAAAAAATCATGGTGAAATTCCCTATTGTAATTCAGTTATACAGGGTATCTTAAAACGAGCTTATAGTATCTTTATACCTATCGATAATCAGTCTCAAGTAATTTATGAAAACGTTCATGCTTTTTCAAACTAATGTTGAAGGAAAGTTGATTATAAAGTTGATTTGTTTTATAATATGAAATATGAATAATGAAATCATAATCTGCTACTAGAAAGTAGCATTAACTATGTTATTTCAAATGGAATACCTTGGATTTCAGTATGTTCAGTGAGTGATCTCACTTATTAGGATTTGGATTTATCTTATAATTTAGAATGAATTCATAGTCTAATGGAAAATATACATCACTGTGATCAGTGCCGGATTTATACTCCCTTACGAAGGGGGCTAACTTTTACGATGCCGCCGCGCCGCCGCCAAATATTCAATTTTCAATTGTCAGTTTCAAAATTCAAATAATCCTTTCACTGCTTTTTTTATAGCATGAAATCATCATGTGGAACGAATCGAATTTTATTTACTTCACACGTTAAACATAACAATCAAACAAAAAATATTTTTTTCGTCTAACTGCTTTCATTTATTGATCTTCTGCCTTTCCAGAATGCACCACCTTCTTTTTTACTCATTTTTTAAAATTTCAGTTTCAATATTCATTCATTATTAGTACCATTACCAAGAATACCAATGACAGCCTATTAAATACTGAACTCTGATTTTGTTTTTTTGTTATTGAGTTAGACGAATCACGAAATTACTTTACTTCACTTTACTGAGTAGAATGCAGTTTTTTTTCTCATCTTCAAATAATAGTATGTACCGCCGCCGCTTTTGTATTGTAGCGTCCAAGACACAGCTGACGCTAGATTAGTGCATGTTACGATTTTCACAAAAACAGTATCTCAACCAGTCAACGACTGTATTGCTGTTTGCTTTTCCTCTTGTCTCTTTTTCTCTACCGCCTCTTGAAATTCACCGCCGGGGACTGATAGTCCCATAGCCCCCCCCCCCCCCCCCACCCTAAATCCGGCACTGACTGTGATAACTACACCTGGATAATATTTTCCACTTTTCTCACCTATTTCCAACTTGGATCATTTGATTGCAAAGAGCTTGGATGAACCATGATCCAGTTTTTTTACTTCTTATAGCAGCATAACCAGGTATAGAGGCATAGAAAGTGATCATGTCTCTTAAAAGTGGGGCGGGTCCATCAGTAGTCAAGGAAATGTGGTCTTGGTCACATTCTTCCTCACTTTCTTCAACTGAAGAACAAAGAGATATTGTTTTTTTATTTCAACAATTGAATTATCAATTTTTAAATCACGAAAAATTGCATCATAATACATAATATTATTACAATAACATACATTTTTCATACTCAACTGTCTAAAAAATGCTACAAACTGGTACATATATGTCAATTGTTTAAAAAATGAACCAAGACATAACCAAAATACAACTCTTTCTGAACAAACAATTATTGTATATTTGTTGGTATATTGATTTCTTTTTCACTTTACTTACGTTTTTGGCATTCCTGTCCTTGACATGACTGAAGAATAAGAACTTTTGGTTTTCCAGCCAATTTGTTTTTGTTGACTTTATGCATGATTTCCTGGATCTTGTTTATCTTTACCATACAACTATTTGCCCCATAAACAACACCTAAAAATGAAATTAAAAACAAAATAATCTTCAGTCAACTTGATGCTGATAAATTAGTCTATGCTGTATTTTGTAATCTTACCTTTATCACCATGGGATAAAATGCAGATGAACAAGCTGGATTCATCTTCAATACCATTGATAACATCTTTTATTTTCCTCACCATATCAATGTGATTTAGATTCTCTGCAACTAATACCCTGAAGCCGAATCTGGTAAATACTCTTTGGAGTTCTTCTTTATCTTTTTCAGTGCCCTTTCTAGATACTAATTGCTCTCTTGTATCAGGAGGCAACAAATCCTGAAAATAGTTGCCAACTTTTTTGGTAAAAATTGAGAGGCCAGCAGATTTTAAAATAATTTGGTCCAAAGTATATCAAGAGAAGAGTAAAACTCATTGGGGCCAGCTAATACTTTATAACAATTATTACATGATTATGTAAAAAGAAGTTTTTTTCTCATGTATTTTCCATATCATATGACTGAGATTCTCTTGGTCTATCACCCTGAAGCTGAATTTGGTAAATACTACCCATTCTAGATACTAGTTGCTGTCTTGTATCAGGAGGCAACAATAGTTATTTAACCAACTAGTGTATTAATGAGGGCGATTAATGTTCGAGATCATTAATCGCCTTTTAATATACAAGTTGGTTACAAAATTTTTCCGTTGACTATATTTCTCATTTCTCCTGCAATGAAGAAAACTTCGTTCGCGAATTCATCATTCATCCGGAAACTGCTAAGAATCACCCAGTAGCCTTGTTACTGACATTAGTGACATTTGACATTTGTCGAAATGATCAACATAGAAAATAAATTCCTTGTGTTAGAAAACAGGGATTGAAATTGTGTCAGAAACTTGGAAAGGCGAACCCGTTAACAAAAAATCTTCGATGAAATCCATATTTTCAATTTAAATGCCGATTCTGTAAGTTATAGCATAAACAATGAATGCACACGGTGTATGTTTGGTTGCCTATAACACAATCGTGCATCAATAGACAAATCGTTCATTAATAGGGGTCATTAATGAACGATTTCATATACATTAAACTTGGTCGTTAATACGAGGTCGGCGGAAAAAATATATTTGCCAACTGTTTTGGTGAAAAGTTTGTTCATCAAGAGAAGAGAGAAACTCATTGGGTCCAGTTAATAGTTTATAATAATGGCCACATATTTATAAATCAACTTTTCGGCTATGAATTGTTGGAAGGTTTTGTTTCTTCTTTTCATTTTCAGATAGTGCAGATGAGGAATATCATAATATTAAAACATGCACCCCAGAATATATGATATTTGCATAGAAGAAAAATTCAGAGAGGAGTAACTTACCTTATATTCTTGATGTATATCAGTATAGAATGATTCCTGGTTTATAATAAGGACAACTCCGGGCTTATTTGGATCAATATCATACCTATTATCATTGGAAGACATATTAGAATGGGCTAAACCAACATGTGGTAGCTGATAATCCATGAATGTATAATTTGAATCAACATATTCTTGAGGGACAGGGTTGTCCATACTGGTAGTTGAGGAACATGTTCTATCTCTGCTTGTCTTCCCACTAGTTTGATAGTGGGCTTCAAAGAAATCATTTCGGCAAGTCTGAGAATTTTGGTAGGCACAGTCAGATTTTGAGGAGCCTTGGACTGATTCAAAGCGAATTGAGGCTATGGGTTCAAATGGTTCCTAAGCAAAAATGTATGTGTGTGAAAAAAATCAGGTAATTGAAGGAATGATAATGATTATAATCATACCTTCACCTTCTGGACATTATTATGCCTAATCAAAACATTGTCAAGCATAGTATAGAGTTCTTCCTCATCCATTATTTTCAATATACTTCTCACATCAGTCAAAGAAAAAGTGCTTGTGGTTTCCCATTTAAGGAAGAATAATTCCAAAAACTGTGGGTCATATTCATCAAAAGCCATTTTTTTCTCATTGAATTTTCTTCTGACATGCTCCAGAAAAGTAGCTGTTTTTTTGGAACTCAGCTTTTCACATATTAAATAAGCTGTCTTCCTGATTTCATTTATGTGTAATGATGAGTTGAAATGTGGTAAATAATGGTCTTTAGCATGAGATTTCTGATAACCTACAAAAAATCTTGGTCCCAATTGGAAATAATAAATAAAAGTAATTTTTTTACTAACCTAATGATTTCAAAACTTCATAATTCTTGATAATACAAAGAGACTCAATAAATTTATTTTGCCAATTATTTCCTCTCATATCCTGAACAGCAGCCCAATCATATAACAACTTTTTTGTGCTTCCTTCCAAAATGAGAGTTAGATCTTGTAAACAGCATTCAGTTTCACATAGGTTTTCATCCAATAAGAGAAAGGCTAGAGAAATCTGCAAAAAAAGTATGCTGAAACATAGATCTTTACAATAACTAATTTCTATCAGGCTTCAATATCAGGAAGTAATAACATCAGAAATTCAATCAGATTTCCTGACTAAATATTGTTGTGCCATAGTTTGTTGAAAAATCTGAGAAACTTTAGAGCACATATATTCAGCATCACATCAAAGGTACAATTATTTAGGAATGATAGTGAGTACAACAACTATATTTCAATTATTTCATCTCAATTATAGTCAATGGTTTTATTCCAGATTATATCACTTGACATACCTCTGTCCTCTGAGAGAGGAATATCTCAATCTCAAGCAAGGTGTATGTATGTATGTATGTATATATGTATGTATGTATGTATGTATGTATGTATGTATGTATGTATGTATGTATGTATGTATGTATGTATGTATGTATGTATGTATGTATGTATGTATGTATGTGTTTGTAAGACGGGGTTTACGAGGACAATAGCAAGTTCAAATACTAGGTAGCGAGGACATTTTGGCATGCGAGGACCGAAAAAATGTCCTCGCAGATATCTGTCCTTGCTATCGCCTTATTCAGCTTATTCCGATCATTTCTATACCTATATCATGAAAATTTGATGTGTCCTCGTAAGACGGATCCTCAACGGACGCCCAGTTCCGTCACACACCGATAGGTAGCGCATCGGAAAAACTATATACACAGAGTATCCACCATCTAGGCCTAATGCGAGGACAATCGATACACACTCTGTGTATAATGAACACCAATGGAATGCTCCCATTCAAAATTTGAATGAGGCTGACGGAAACTATACACAACACTCCTAGCGAGGGCACTGAATCCAGTAAAATACATAATACCCCGACAGTCGACAGTTGTTTTCAGTAATACGGTAGTTTAGCGGAATCGTTTTATAATTTGTGGTTTTGTACTAGGTAGCTCGAAGTATCAATTTGTTATTGTCTATATATTTCAAGAGCTAATGCTCAGTTTTCCTACCACATAACTTATAGTATCAAGATGGAATATGATGTGATGTCTAATAAATAATTTCATCTATTTATTACGGAATGTCCAAACGGAGGACTCATTAGTTTTCTTACTCATGAACCGAAGATAAACGTTCAGATATACCAGGTGACACAGACACATGGTATACTCCCATTTTCTCATTTGTTTTTCTAGCTATATTTCTGGAATTCGAAACATCGCATATGCTCTCTAGAAGACACTTTTACACGTTTTCTCACCTTCTCACCTTCTCGTTTTCCAGGAAATGACTTCAACTTTCGATTCACAAACGAAACACCCTGTATTTCATTTCATAATTGGTTAGAGATTATTATAACGGATTCTACGATACCAGGTTTGATTGGGTTATTTCAAATGACCACGAAGATATTTGAGTTCGGAGTTTCCATATGATCAATGGGTGTGACGGCGCAACATCGAAACTTCTATTTCTGTCACACACATGAAATATCTTGCGGAAAACATTTGCATAAGCTGCCTTCGTGTAGCAAGTCCTGAAATTATTAAGTGAACATGTGAAAAAGAGGGGGTATTCCGGAACAATTATTCAACGTATGCTTTTTCACTCAATGCAATTGAATTATGTGGTGTGCATACATTAAATGATTTTTCCTAGTGAATACAAAAAGTGCATGTGCAAAAAATTTTCACAGCGCATGTGCACGCCACGATTGTATGCAAAGTAGTTTATCGTGATACAAGTTACACTAAAAATAGGTCTGTGAAAAAGCATACGTTAAATAATAGTTCAACAATACCCCTTCTTTGTTACATGTTCACTCAATAATTTCAGGACTTCTTACACGAAGGCAGCGTATGCAATTATTTTTCTGCGGGATATTTTTTTCAAATTTCAACGAAGACCAATTTGCAAGCATTGAATAATCGTTCAGAATTCGTTTCGATTTTTCACGGAACATCCTGTATTTTATTGTATTTCGAGGTTCTACTTGAAGAGTTGATTTCATCGATCTATCACAACATAGCACACTCGCGGTTTAGCGGGCATGATGACGGAGATATAGGGGTGTGAAAAATATATATTTTTATTGTTTAGGAATGTTTTGTCTCGAAACTATTCATTATTGATCATAACGGCTTATATGACACACATCTTGACTTTTTATTCACTGTCTACTGACATTCAACTGAAGCAAATATAGAGTGATTCATAATTTAGATTTCTGAACTACCATACAAATGCAGGATGGTTTGCAATTTAGATTCCTGAACCACCAAACAAATGCAGGGTGGTTTACATTTTTGATTTGTGAACCACCCCGTATTTGTTTATAGTGTATGATGAATTGGTATTCATCGTACAGGTCGTGGAAAGAAATTCAGAATTGAGAAAACCCAATAACGTTTCTGTGATTAGAGGTATGTCAAAACAAATTTCCATCGTTCAAGTTTGAACCCCTTGATTGGGTATAGAAGTATTGAAAAGGAATATTCTCAGACATATTAGGAACATGAAGAAAATATTAAGAAATATACTGAGAATTCGTTTGTGTTCAGTAGATATAATTCAATGTTCATCGTGGCATATAGCCTGGAAAGTAGTTATTATCTGTTGAGTATACCGAGAAAGAATTTATATTTTTATCAGATAGATAATGCGAATTTTAATTCTTCTTGATATGTACCATTTTCCATTTTTTTATGTTCATAATGAATCTGATGAGAATATTCTTTTTCAACACCCTGTATTTGTTTTGATTAAATGTTATTATGTAGTAAATCGAAAGTGAAGATAGGAAGATACAAGCCATTTCGACCAATAATGAATAGTTTTAACACCAAAAATTTCTCTGAAGTTGAAAAACCTATATTTCATCATTCCCGCAAGACTCCAAGTATGTGATAGATCGAGCTTCTTCAGAAACAAACTGAAAAGGAGTAAAATACATAGTGTTCCATGAGAGAAATCGCAACTTTGGTATTCCACACCCTTGCAGAGCACCCTGTACATTGGTGAATATTCTCAATACGTAATTTCCAGAGCCCTTTACGAAACTGGAATGATGAAATTTCATTACGATGACAAAAACGGGAATATGACATGTTCCCGTTTCCCCGTCATCCCCGAGTCCATCTCGTACTCGTGATTCACTATGTATAGATCAAAACATCACTGATATTTCGGATTTTCTACATGATAACCCTTCTCGAATCTTATACCACTCGACATTTATTTTATTTTCTCCAAGCGGCAGGGAAAGTGGCTTTTTCCTGACACTTGACAGGCAGGAAAGGTGTACTTTCTCTGCCCAGACAGGAAAAGTTTGTTGCTATGCAACTTTCCAAGAAATGTGAATGAAATTGGTAATCAAAATCGACACTGACATTGGGTGAACACAAAATGATGGAGTTATCAATAAATGATAACACAAAATTGGTGTCATAACATTCGGAGAAAATATTATAAGTTTCACACGGCAGTAAATGTAGATTGACTGCCTTGGCTGAATTCCTAGCTTCGCTACGCACGGCTATGAACTATCAGTCGCGGCGGTCAATCTGCTCTACTTTCCTGCCTTGTATAACAAATAACTATTTCATATTTACTAAAAACCGAAAGGCACACTGGCTGAAATGACGGGAATATACTCTTATTGATTGCAATGTTTCTTGCCAATTCATGCATCTTCAATTGTCAACATTTCAGAACTCCTTGATGATCTAATTACTGGCGAGAAAAAATGTGATCCCTCTAAAAGCCACTATTGTTGTGCTACTTTGTGAATTATAATAATATCAATATTTTTCATTTACCCAGTATAGTTAGGTCTTGGTGTTTTCTAGACATTCCTTGACTTACTATTACTAATACGACTCCGTGTATTAGTTATTCATGCGAGGTCCTTTTTTTGTCCTCGTACCCTTACATTAAAAATTGGAGTCCTCGTAACAAATGATATCGATAAGTCTTACATCGAATACTATTGTTTTCGTACCTTTCCTGGAAAATCAAGAACAGAGATAATAATATTCTCAGTTTGGTTGAATCATTCCTCCTGCGAGGAACTTCGTGCGTCTTAAATTCACTGATTGTGTGTGTTTCTACTGTTTCTTGTGATTGATGTTCGATGATGAAGCGGCGCAGATTTCACACTGTTTCCATGATTGGTTCTATTCAGATCAGTCCATTGATATATGAAATTGAATAAACGTCATTGAAGATTTCTGCTAATTCAATGGAATTTATATCAACTGATATGGAAACATCAATCATTATTGTAATTCAGATTAGTCAATGATTAAAATTCAGAAAACTTCGATGGATAATTTTCTTTCTGAGACCATTAAGTACTTCAATTTTTCACTATTATACTGATATATACCTACAAACACATTATGCATTGGAAATATTTCATCTGCAGATTGTATTGACAACAATATTAGGTATATTTTTGATAATTGCGAGAGTGAATTATTCTGTAATGGGGTTACAGTGACTACTTCACAAATTATCATGAAAGTTTGGGCAATTAGGTTTTCCTAATCGAGAAAATCGAATGAGTTTCCATTGTACAAGTCTCACCTTTCCGCTTGAAAAAATTATGGTTCAATGAGAAAAAGGAATTAATGATATTCCAGAATTTTTGGGATTTTCACTCCTCGTTTCTATAAAATAAAAATATGCAAACCATCTGGTTTGTTCTTGGTACACGTATATTGAAATAATACTTATATTTTTATTTTATAAAAACGAGGAAAGAAATTCCCGAAGAATCTGAAATAATCATTTCACCTCTTTGAAATCAATGAAATATAACAGCATGACTGAAATATATATTGAACCTCCTATCTCAGTAAGTATTGATATTTGACGCCCAGTTATCAAACATAAATATTATTTGTCGGTATAAAATCTACAAGTGAAATATTACCCATTCAATATGAATCAACTTGTATGTAATTACATTCTGAATCTCCATTAATTTTATATCTTCAATCCACAGAGTACCTA